TTCTAGAGCCTCCCAGAGACCCCGTATAAATAACTCTAAGCTCTCAGTCATTCCTACAATTGGTCGTCATTTATTAAGCACCCACAAAAACAGATACGGAGCCCTGGTGGTGCAGTGATTAAGACCTATGGCAAGCTACGGCTGCTAACCAAAATGTCGGCAGTTTGAATCCACGAGTCACTCCTTGGAAACCCTATGGGGCAGTTCTACTGTGTCCTATCGAGTTGCTATGAGTGGGAATCAACTGGATAGCAATGAGTTTTTTTTTAAAAAAAAAAAAAACAGATACAGAGTCCCTGAATGATGCAAACGGCTAACACAGTCGGCTGCTAACCAAAAGATTGACAGTTTAAATACATCCAGAGACGCCTTGGAAGAAAGGCCTGTGATCTACTTCTGAAAAATCAGCCATTGAAAACCCTATGGAGCACAGTTCTACCCTGACTCATTAGTTGAAATCATCTCAACAGCAGTTCCGGCTGAATCTTTATTGTATCCCAAGTGCAATAACACTTAGAATTTATATGTTAGGTTGCTTTTAGAAAGCCAAGTAAGATGTTTCTCACTTCATTAACTGCTATTGGAGCTCCCTCCTCTCAGCTGGGGTGACGGCTCCAAGAGCTGAGGTGTTACTGGGGTGGTGGTGTCATTCCTAGCTCTGGATCTTTTGTGACTCTGGCCCCATATATCCAAAGGATCAAAGTGCCCCACCCAGAAGGAGCTGACCTGCAAACTCCACTGGGCTCTTTGCTGAAGGAGAAGGCATCTGAAATCCAGCGTCTCCAGGAGGAGTGGCAAAGCCAGAAGGCCAGATTGCAAGCCCAGGTAGAAGAATCACCCAGGTGGGGCTATGCCAACATGCTGAATGACACTTTGCCTCCTCCTTCTCTTTATGGACAACTTTGGAAATGAAAGGAGGGCCTCATCCACAGACAAGCTGGGAGGGCATTCCAGGTCCCGAGCAAGGTGGAATTCTTGGTTATTTTTATTCATTCTTTCAAAACCTGCTGTGGCTCATTGAACACCTGCTATGAGCCAGGAACCCTTCTAGGTGTTTGCGATATATCCATGAACAAAATAGACAAAATTCCGCATTTAAGGTGTTTATGTTTTAGCGGGGGGCAATGATGGTTCAGTGGTACAGATCTTGGAAACCAGGGTTTAATTCCTGACCAATACACCTCAGGTGCAGCCACCACCCAACTGCCATTGGAGGCTTACATGTTGCTATGATGCTGAACGGGCTTCAGCAGAGTTTCCAGACTAAGACTAGGAAGAAAGCCCTGGTGATTTACTTCCAAAAAATCAGTCAGTGAAAACCCTATGGATCACAGTGATCCTATCCCATTGTGTACAGGATCACCATAAATTGGGGGCCAACTCAACAACAGCTAGCAACAACAACATATTTTGGGCAAAGAGGTGGGAACAAACAATAAACACTAGATATAAGCAATAAGTACTTTAGAAGGTGATAGGGGCTTTAGGACAAACAAGAAGCAGAAGAAGGTAAACAGAGTTGGGAGGCTGCTGATACAGGATTAGGGTGCAGTACTAAACTGGAGTTGTCAGGGAAAGCCTCCGGAAGAAAGTGAGATTGGAGCAAGCACCTTAAGGAGGTGAAGGAGGCCACGATGTAGCTGTCTGGAAGGTAGCCTCGTCCCTTCTTGGTTTCGCTTGGAAGGTTTATGTCCCAGCCGGTCTTCTTCTCTTGACTGCAGTTGATGACTCTAGTTGAGGCGCCCCCAGAGCCCCAGCCCATCCCCAGGTTCTCATAGCTTGCAAGCTTGCAGTTCCCACAGGTTGAGGAGACCTTCAGAAAGGTTTGATTTTTTTTAAATAATCCCTGGAGGAGTGAGGGGCCTGGCCTGAGGGTGTGCCATCCTGGTTGCAGATCTTGCAGATGCAGCAGGCTCTGGAGCAGTGTGCCAGCACCTACCGGGAGGACCTGCAGGACCTCAAGCAGCTCTCCGACCACGAAAGGGAGACACTGCAGCAGGAGCTCCAGAAGAGCGTTCAGCAGAACCAGGCCATGAAAGCCCAGCTTGAGGCTTCCCACCAGCGAGCCCTAAGAGTGCTTGAGAAGGCCAAAAATCAGGAACTCAAGGTAAGGGCAATGGCTTAGTTTCCTAGGGCTACCATAACAAAGAGGTCGTTGGCGGCTTAGTGGTAGAATTCTCCTCTTCCATGTGGGATACCTAGGTTAGAATCCGGACCAGTGCACCCTATGCGCAGCTGCCACTCACCTATCATTGGAGGTTTGCTTGTTGCTATGAGCTGAACAGGTTTCAGCAGTACTTCCAGACTAAAACAGACTAGGAAGAAAGGCCTGGCGATTGACTTCCAAAAATCAGCCAATGAAAACTCTATCATGGGGATGGCACAGGGTCTCATTCCGTTGTGCATGGGATCCCCATTAGTCGGGGGCTGACTCAATACCAACTAACAACAACCATAACAAAATACCACAAAGTGGGTGGCTTTAAAGAACAGAAATGTACTGTTGCACAGTTCTGGAAGTCAGGAGTCTGAATTCAGGGCCTTGGCAAGGCCATGCTCTCTCTGTCTGCTCAAGGGGAAGCCCCTTCCTTGTCTCTTCCAGCTTCTGGTAGCCTCAGGTGTTTCTTGGCCTTCCTTGGCTTTTAGATGCATCTCCTCATGTATGACCCTGTATCCCTGTGTGTTCTTCCCTTTTATAAGACACCACACAGAAGGCTTTAGGACCCACCTGCAGTATGACCTCGTTAACTCAACTGATCACATCTTCGAAGAAAGACCCTATTTCCAAACAAGGACACATTCACCAGTACAGGGTTTAGGGCATCAATATATCTTTTTGAGGGACACACTTCAACCCATAAACCAAAAATACCAAACCCATTGCCGTCGAGTCGTTTCTGACTCATAGTGACCCACAGAGCAACTAGTGGGTTTGAACTGTGAACCTTTTGGTTAGCAGCCAAGCACTTAACCACTGCTTAACCAGGGCTGCATTATGAGTTTTTAGTCCATAACAGATAATAAGTCAGCTATTCACTAAGCACCTGCTATGTGAGCACCTGCTATACACTACCTGTAGTGCTTTTGTACATTATCCTTCATCACCACAGCAATTTTACAAGGTGATTATTATCATATTCCACTTATCCCCATGAGTAAAGTAGCTCAGAGAGAATAACTTGCTTAGGGTCACACAGCCAGTAGGTGCAAAGAGAGGGTTCAGACTCAGGTCTGCTGGGCTTCTTGTACTGCTTCCTTACCTGCATGTGGCCTTTGTAACATAAGAATAGCTTTCTTTCCTGACTTGAACAACGTCATTGTGACAGTTAATTTTGTTTAATGATATTTTATTGTGTTTTTGGTGAAAGTTTACACAGCAGATTAGGTTCCCGTTTGACAATTTCTATACAAATTGTTCAGTGACATTAATTATGTTTTTCACAATGTGTCAACATTCTCTTTGTTCCATTTCTGGTGCTTTAGTTTCCCTGCCCCCTTATCTTCTCATCTTTCCTTTTGAAAAATAGTTGACCATTTGGTCTCATATAGATGGTTTTTTGATGTAGCACCATACTCACAGATAATATCCTTTATTTTGTATGCCAATCTGTTATTTTGCTAAAAGGAGACCTCAGGGTATAGTTTCAGTTCAAGGTTTAAAGAGTATCTCAGGGCAATAGTCTCAGGGAGTCCTCTAGTCTCAACTGATCCAGTAAGTCTGGACTTTTTAATAATTTGAGTTCTGTTCTGCATTTTTCTCCCATTCTATCAAGGTCCATCTATTTTGACCCTGATCCCAACCAATGGTAGTGGTAGCCGAGCACCATCTAGTTCTTCTGGTCTCAGGGCAGATAAGGCGTGGCTCATGTAGGCTGTTAGCCCTGTAGACTAGTTTCTTCTCTGAGACTTTGGTTTCCTTCTTTTTCTTTTGCTCCTGACGAGTAGAGCCCAATAGTTGTGTCTTAGTTGGCTCCTTACAAGCTTTTAAGACCCCAGACTCTACATACCTCACTAGAATGCAGAACATGAACTTTTGTGAACTATATTGTGCTAATTGACTGAGTTGTCCCATGAGACTAAGGTCCAAAGCCTTCAAACCCAGAAAACTAATCTTGCAAGGTGCTTGATTATGTCTGAGAAGTGTCTATAACTGTGTCCTCTATGACTATATATGCATGCACACACCTATCTGTATGTACACATACAGATACTTCTATCTGTGCACACATATGTGCACACCTGTACCTACTCATACACATCTATGCCTATACACATACATATGTGACCATATACTCGTTTTTTGGTTGTGATGGTTAATTTTATGTGTCAACTTGGCGAGGCTATGGTGTCCAGTTGTTTGATCAAACACTAGTCTAGATGTTGCTGTGAAGTTACTTTGTACATGGCTCAATTTTAAAAAGGTCAACTTTTATTACTGATTTATTCTGCAGGTATTTATTGAGCAACTCTCATGAGGTATCATTGTGCTCAGCTTGGGTGATACCAAGATGATTGAGATAATCCCTGTCCATATGCAGCTCACCTGTAGGGAGAAAGGCAGCCACTCAGACAGATTGCTGTAATTCAGTGGGTCAGAGCTGTGAGAGGGTGGTACGAGGTATTTTGGGATCACCAAGAAAGGAGACTATGCAGTGTAGGGCATGAAGAGACAGAGTGAAATTGGGCCCCTTCAGAGGCTCCCAACAGGCCATGACAAGAGCACAGTGAATCTCCCAGAGAGGTTGAATAAATTCGCCAGAGATTTTTCCGGCTTGAAGTAAACCCTGGGGGCTGACCCTGCAAGGTCCTCTCTTCCACGGGCTTCCAAGCAAAAGAGGTCTCCCCGGGGACAGAGAGAGGCCATGTCACAGAGTGAGAGAGTCTACTCCTCCACTTGGCTCTGACTTCCCCATTCTCTTTTTTTAAAAATATAATTTATTTTAGTTTTGTTGTTGTTGAGAATATACACCAATTCAACAGTTTCTGCATGTAGAATTTAGTGACATTGATTACATTCTTGGAGTTGTGCAACCATCCTCACCCTCCTTTTCCAAGTTGCTCCTCCCCCATTAACATAAACTCAACTTCCCCCAAAGGTTGCTGTCTCATCTTTTGAGTTGCTGTTGTCCATTTGATCCCATATAGACAGTTCTTAAAAGAGCCCAATGCTCGAGGCAGATGTTCTTTACTATCTCCGTTCCCTTTTCACTGGAAGTAAAATGTCACTACGTGTAGTGCTCTGAGCCTCGCAACTAGTGCAAGAGGAGGAAAGCATCCGAGAGTTCAAAAACTGCCAAGCTTTTCTGCCTTCTCATTTAATTAACTCACTATGGAATGACTGAGTTTCCGCATTGCTGCTGAGGGCATAACAGAGGTGAAGACCTAGGCAACCTCTGAATGCACTGTTGGGTTCATTTCACTGACTCGGACTCAAAGATGGCTGGGTTCTCCCCTTTTAAAAAAAAAAAAAAAAGAAAAAAAACAGTTGTCATGGAGTCAGTTCTAACTCATGGTGACCCCATGTGTGTCAGAGTAGACTGGGCTCCATAGATTTTCAATGGCTATGACCTTTCAGAAGTAGATGGTCAGGCTTTTCTTCCAAGGTACTTCTGGGTGGATTCAAACCTCTAATCTTTCAGTTAACCCAGTTCTTAACTGTTTGCACCACGCAGGGAATCCTTTTGCCTTTGATGAAATCCCATTTCTCATTGTTTCCGGAGGCAGCATGAGGGAGTGGAAAGGGCTTGGGCCCTGGGTTAAAATCCTGCCTCCACCATTACCTGTCCTCAGGCAAGTCACTTCTCTTTGAGCCCTAATTTCCTCCTCTGTAAAATGGGGGAAGGACCCCTGGTGTCACAGTGGTTAAGCCCTGGGCTGCTAACCAAAAGGTCAGCAGTTTAAACCCAACAGCCACTCCTTGGCAGAAAGATGTGGCAGCCAGCTTCCGTAAAGATTACAGCCTTGGAAACCCTATGGACAGTTCTACTCTGTCCTATACGGTTGCTAGAAGTTGGAATCAACTTGACAGCAACAGGTTTTTAAAAGAGGGGGCGGGGGAATAAGAGCTCCTGTATGTTTTCTGTATGACCTTGGAAAAGCTAATTCATCTCTCCCAGCCTCAGTGTCCTCTTGTATGTAATGTGACTGTGTATTAACTGGAACTCTCTTAGTTGCAAACAGAGAAACTGGATTAGCTTCCTATAAAACTTCATAGAACCTTCTTTGGGTGCCTGACCCATAATAGCCAATAATAGCCATAATGTTTGTTGAATGAAAGAATGAATGAACAAAAGCATGATCATATAAATGAACCCAAGGACAGAGACACAGCAGTTCTCAGGGCCAAAGTAGACCATGGACTGAAAAGCCCTGGGGATCCCTCCTTCTGCCATGCCTGCTCTGCTCTGCACATCAGCCTGGGTCTCCCTTCAGAGACAGCTACTTCTGCTTCTCAGGACCTGGGGCAGTGTACAATGCTCACCTCACTGCCCCTGAGAGTGGCAGAATTCAGGGAACTGTCAAAAAGAAACATTTGATCAGCGAGTCAATTACAATTAACAGTTTATTGAGTGAGAAGCTATCTGCAAACAGGGAATGTTCGAAAAGGAGCGTGCTCAAGCAGCGCTAGGGCAGGGTTCTTAAAGGCGTTAAAGCATTTCCAGTTAAATTGGGACTTAGGTATGTTCTTAATTAAAGGGAGGGTCTTACAAAGCGAGGATCTTTCTCTTATTGGTTCTATAGATGTAATTGTCTGATGGGAATTGGTCGTGTCAGGCACGACAAATCAAAACCATCCTTCCATGTCCAGTTGTCCTTCTGGGAAAGTCCCTACGATTAGAACACTTTAAAAACTCCCTATTATTTTGTCCTGGTTTTATACCTGGCACAAATGGCCATTCTGATTTATTGTTCACAGAAAGGTTTTGCATCTGGTGCAAACAGCCATTAATTTTTAGTTAATATTTAACGCCGCCCAGTTAGTCAGTCTCTCTTGCCCTCACCTTTTGTCTGTCTCTCTCCGTACTTCCCTCCCATACACGTTCTAACTCCAAATTCCCCAGGAAGAACTCTGATTGACCCCGCTTGGAACAGGTGTCCACTCTGGTCTAATCAACTATGGACGGGGCTGGGTTCACACAGCACAAAATGGCTGCTGTGGCCAGGCCATCACTGTCATCACAGGTGGGTAGAGCAGCGTTCACTGTAGCGATAAGCCCTCCACAGGGGAGCCGCAAGCCCAGCTCAGAGGAGGTGCTTGGCAGAGACGACAGATCTTTGCCTCTGTGTCAACCTTCACAACTTCTTCCCTACCTCTTTTGCCCACAGGCCACAGAGGAGCGCTTGAAGAAGGAATCCAGCCACAGCCTCCAGATCCAGCACCAGACACACCGACTGGAGCTGCAGGCCTTGGAGGAAAAGGCAAGGCAAGAGCTCCAGGAGGAGCGCGAGAGGATGCAGGCCCAGCAGGCTCTGCTGCTAGGTATACAACCACCACATCCCAACCGCCGAAATCGGAAGCCAGAGGGTATGCCCAGACCCAGGGGCCGGCTGAGGGCAGGGCGGGAAGCATGGCTCTAGAGACACACAGGCCAGGCTTCCAATCCTGGCTCTGCTACTGAGTAACTGTGAGACCTAGGCAAGGTTACTCTGAGCCTCATTTTCCTCTTCTATAAAATAGGGTTACAATCGCCTCTCCTGATAAGGTTATTATGCAGGTTAAATGAGATATTAGGTATAAAATGCCCAGCGTAAACACTCGACTACTAACCAAAAGGTTGGCGATTCGAACCCACCCAGAGAGGCCTCAGGAGAAAGCCCTGGTGATCTGCTTCCAAAAGGTCACAGCCTTGAAAACCCTATGGCATGCAGTTCTACTGTGTATACATGGGGTCAGCATGAGTCAGAAGCAACTCAAAGGCAACTGGTTAGCATATAACATGAACCCAGTGAATAATAACTATTATTATTGGAGTCCCTTGGTGGTACAAACAGTTAACACACTCCTCCAAAAGGTTGGAGGTTCAGGTTCACCCAGAGGTACCTCAGAAGAAAGGCCCGGCAATGTACTTCCAAAAAATCAGCCACTGAAAACACTAAGGAACATAGTTCTGTTTTGACACATATAGGGTTGCCATGAATCAGAATCGACTCAGTGGTGACTATTTTTGTTTTGTTTTGTTTTAACTGAAATTGACTATAACCCAGATCTCTGAGCCTTTCCAATACCTAGGTAGGTGGTATTGTCTTGACTTCTCATTTCCATCCTAAGGATTTCGACGTATTTGGGGGACTTAGGCCTCCAGACTCCTGCATGTTCCTCTGCTTCCTCTGCTTGCCCTACATTATCCGCATTAGGAAACTCAGCCCCGGCTGTGGGGACCATGGTCTCAGGGAGCATCTAGCTCAATTGGCATCACATAGTTTATAAAGAAAATGTTCTACATTCTACTTTGATGGTAGCGTCTGGGGTCTTAAAAGCCTGTGAACGGCCATCTAAGATACTCTTCTGGTCTCACCCCTTCGGGAGCAAGAGAGAATGAAGAAAACTCAAGATACTAGGGAAGGATTAGTCCAAAGGACTAATGGACCACAACTACCACAGCCTCCACCAGACCAGGTCCAGTACAACGAAATGGTGCCCGGCTACCACCGCCGACTGCTCTGACAGGGATACAAATAGAGGGTCCCGGACAGAGCTGGAGAAAAATGTAGAACAAAATTCTAACTCACTTGATTAGACAGCCCCATAAAACAAAACGAGACTAATGGGGCACAATAGTCCAGGGACAAGGACTAGAAGGCAGGGGGGACAGGAAAAGTGGTAATAGGGAACCCAAGGTTGAGAAGAGAGAGCGTTGACATGTCGTGGGGTTGTTAACCAATGTCATAAAACAATATGTGTACTGACTGTTTAATGAGAAGCTAGTTTGTTGTGTTCACCTTCATCTAAAGTTCAATTGAAAAAAAAAAGAAATAGCACAGGCATCTTCCATCTATGAAAATGAAAGGTTTAAAAAAAAAAGAAATATTGATCCATACCCAGATTTCTTTCCATATGATAAAAATTACTTTGTTCAAAAATTAAACATATTCAGAAACAAAAAACAAAAAAGAAACTCAGCCCCTTTTCAGTTTTCACATTGTCTTAGTTATCTAGTGCTGCTATAATAGAAATACCACAAGTGGATGGCTTTAACAAAGAAAATTTATCCTCTCACAATCTAGGATTCCAGAAGTCCAAATTCAGGGTTCCAGCTCCAAGGGAAGGCTTTCTGTCTCTGTCAGCTCTGGGGGAAGGTCCTTCCTTGTCATCAATCTTCCCCTGGTCCAGGAGCTTCTCCATGCAAGAACCTCAAGTTCAAAGGATGCGCTCTGCTTCCAGCACTGCTTTCTTGGTGGTATGAGATGCCCAGTGTCTCTGCTTGCTTCTCTCTTTTATATCTCGAAAGAGATTGGCTTAAGAAACAATCTAATCTTGTAGATGGAGTCCTGGATCGTTAACATTACTGCCGATAATCCCATCTCGTTAACATCATAGAGATAAGATTTATAACACATAGGAAAATCACATCAGATGACAAAATGGTGGACAGTCACACAATCCTGGGAATCATGGACTAGCCAAGTTGACAGATATTTTGGGGGGACACAATTCAATCCATAACACACATCAAAAGCCACACACATGAAGCTTCTGGAATTTAAGTGCCTGGGTTGGAAGCCCAGCTCCAGCACTCACTAGCTGTGTGAACTTGGACAAGTAGCTTAGCTGCTCTGTGCCTCAGTTTCCCACCATAAAAGGGGACAATAAATGTATTTACTTCATAGGGTTGTTATGAGGATTACAGTAGTAAATACAGTGAGGAGCTTAGAACAGAGCCTGGCACGCAGCGTGTGCTGTGTCAGCGTTCACTGTTATTATTACCGAAGACTCCCGCGCTGCACTGCTGACCTTGAGCACCTCTCTCCATTGTCACAGCTCATCTCTCTCCCTCATTTCTCCTTTACCCTCACCTCCCTTCTCACTCTTAACTGCAACACAAATTCCTCTCCTTATCTCATGCATATCATTAAAGACCAAATTGGCCTTTGTTATGGATTGAATTGTGTCCCCCAAAAATATGTGTTGGAATCCTAACCCCTATACTGTGGGTAAGGAGTCCTGGTGGTGCAGTGGTTAAGAGTTCAGCTGCTAATCAAAAGGTCGGCGATTCAAACCCACCAGCAGTTCCATGGGAAAAAAGAGCTGGTGATCTGCTCCCGTAAAGATTACAGCCTAGGAAACCCTATAGGGCAGTTCTGCTCTGTCACATGGGGTCACTTTGGGTTGGAATTGACTCTGTGGCACCCAGCAACAGTAACACCATACTGTGGGTGTAATCCCTTTTGAGAATAAGGTTTTCTTTGTCATGTTAATGAGGCTTTATCAGCATAGGATGTGTCCTAAACCTAATCAGCTCTTGAGTTATAAGGAGGAACAAAGACAGAGAGACAAGCAAGCACAAATGGGAGGAAGACAGATGCCATATGAAGATCATCAAGGAACTGAGGAAAGCTGGAAGAAACAGGGACGTTACCCCACAACTGACAGAGAGAGAGCCTTCCCCTAGAGCCAGTGCCCTGAATTTGGACTTTTAGCCTCCTAACTGAGAAAATAAATTTCTTTACTTTAAAAGCACCCACTTGTGGTATTTCCATTACAGCAGCCCTAGGAAATTAAGACAGCCTTATTGAAGATATCTTCCGAACATAGGCAGGGCTTTCCTGAACAGAATTCTGGGGAAGAACATTTTCTTTACTTCCATAAGTGAGTCAGCTCTGCCTTGCTGCTTGGTTGAGTATTTGTTAGAAAGTGATTACTGCTGACCAGACATCCGGGGGAAGTGAATGTGAGGAGCCGGATGAGACAGTGGGTCCCACAGATTTCCTGGTTAGCAGTTACCTTGGAATGGAGGTGGCTGACTAGGGAAATGTTAAAGTTGCTGCTACTGTTGTTAGTTGCCGTTTAGTTCCAACTCATGGCGACTTTATGTACATATAACAGGATGAAATGTTACTCAGTCCTGCAGCATCTTTTGATATGTTTGAGCTCATTGTTGCAACTGTTGTGTCAGTGCATCTCATGGAGGGTTTCCTTGTTTTCACTGACCCTCTGCTTTACCAAACATGATGTCCTTTTTTATCAATTGGTCTTTCTTGATGATGTGTCCAAAGTAAACAATACAAGACAAAGTCTTGCCATCCTTGCTTCTAAGGAGCATTCTGGCTATACTTCCTCCAAGACAGATTTGTTCATTCTTCTGGCAGTCCATGGTATATTCAATATTCTTTGCCAACACCACAATTAGAATTCATCAATTCTTCTTCAGTCTTCCTTGTTTCATTGTCCAGCTTTCGCATACACACGAGGCAGTTGGAAAGACCATGGATTGGGTCAGGCTCACCTTAGTCATCAAAGTGCCATCTTCGCTTTTTAGTGTTATCCATAAGGTTTTCAGTGGCTAATTTTTGGAAGTAGATCGCCAAGCATTTCTTCCTAGTCTTAGTCAAGATGCTCCACTAGAACCTGTCCACCATGGGTGGCCCTGCTGGTATTTGAAATATCAGTGGCATAGCTTTCAGTATCATGGCAACATGCAAGCCACCACAGTATGACAAAATAGCAGACAGGTGGTGGATGTTAAAGTTGGCCTCATGTAAAGAAGACGCGTTATATAAGATAAAGCCTAGCTTGTGCCACATGTCTCAGGGTACAAGTCTCCCCAGGTACAGATCAGGCTGGATACCCCTGGTATTTCCAACCCTGACAGCAGCTGTTGGCCCAGATGTCCCTGCCACCCCTTGCCTGGCTCCTCTGATCCCACAGAAGTCCGATTCTTTCCTGGCGACTCTGGAGAGACCCTGGGGACAGGCTGGATTCTCAGGTCCAGGCCCAGGAAGAAGGAATTTGTGGACTGTGTAATGATGATACAGCATAGCCTTCGTGGGTGGTAGTAGGGCAGAGAGGGAGCACCTACTGCACCTACTACAAAGATAGTAGATGTTCCAGGTGCCCCTGCCCCTGTTCCAGTGCCTGCATTAGACACAGCTGATCTGCAGCATAGCTCAGTGTAGGTCTGCCGTAACCAGGTACCACAAACTGGGTGGCTTAAAACAACAGAAATTTCTCTCTCAAGGTTCTGGAGGCTAGAAGTCCAAAATTAAGGTGTTGGCAGGGCCATGCTCTCCCGGAAGGCCCTAGGGGAGAGTCTGTTCCATGCCTTTCTCTGAGCTTCTGGTGTTGCTGGTAACCCTTGCTGTCCCTGGGCTTATAGATACATCACTCCAATCTCTGCCTCCGTTGTCACATGTCTCTTGTCTCTGTGTCTGTTCTCTTTTAAGTACATCAGTCACTACAGATTTACTCCCATATATACCACCCTACTCCAGTATAACCTCATGTTAATTAATTACACCTACAAATACCCTGTTTCCAAATAAGATCACATTCTGAAGTTCTGGAAGAAAATGGATTTCAGGAAACACCATTGAACCCAATACATTTGGTTGGTGATGGGCGGGGAGGGTCAATGTGTCCTCCAGAGTACCTGGGGCACCAGGGTTGACGGTCGGTGAAGGGTGGGGGGATCGGTGTCCTCCAGAGTACCTGGTGCACTGGGGTTGGGACGCAAAGACAGGCTTACAGGATGGATGGATAGTCGGATGAGGGAGGGTTTGAGAGTGTGTGAATGAATTAGTATACTGTAGTTCATGCTTTGTTAAAGGGTTTTTATTTTACTTGTTTTTGTGATAAAGGTTTTTTAATTGGGTTGTGTTTGGGTTTTAGCACATGGTGAGTGCTCAGTACATAGTAGCTGTTATTACTGTTATCTTGGAATAGGTTTAAGGGAATGCAACCCAAAGCCTTCAGCAGCTACCCACCCCACCCCAGAGACTGTTGTCACTGCAGGACAGACTTCAGCCTTGACTGCCCCTCTGATCTTCTGCTCCTCTCTCTCCAGACTCCCTCAGGCAGGAACTGTCAGAGCAGCGGACTGCCTGCTCCGAGCACCAGAAGGACTTGGTGGCACTACAGGCCCAGCTGAGGGCTCTGGGCAGTTCCGGCCAACAGCAGACCAGCCCCTGGCCCCCAGGGGACAGCAAGGACCAAGCCCTCACAGAAGAGGTCAGTGCCCTGCCCCACCCACACCACACCACACCCCTCTCAGAGCAGTGCGAGGGCTGCAGCAAAAAGCCCTGTAAGGATAGTTTGGGGGGCTCTGTCTTTACCCTGTCTGAAATGGGGAGACCCTCCTCCTTCCACACCCCTGTCTGAAATGGGGGAGACCCTCCTCCTTCCACATCCCTGTCTGAAATGGGAACACCCCGCTTCTTCACACCCGTTTGAAATGGGGGAGACATCTCTCCTTCCACACCCCTGTCTGAAATGGGGGAGACCCCTCTCTTTTACACCCCTGTCTGAAATGGGGGAGACCCCTCTCTTTTACACCCCTGTCTGAAATGGGGGAGACGTCTCTCTTTCCACAGGACTAGGGACACGTGAGGGGCCTATAGGCTCACATCTTTGAAAAGCAAAAAGCAGGTTCTACATGCTGCACATCATTCATAATTCAGATAAGATGGCTTCTTGGGTGTAAGTATCAGACAGGTCTAGAGGCAGCTGGTCTGGGTGACTCCTTGAGATCTGCAGAGGCATTTCTCAGAACACTTCCCAGACTGACTCCCCGTCTAGACTTCCCTATTCCTGTGAGTGGGAACAGCCTTGCTGTCACCCTGCCCAGTGCCAGCTCTCCTTGAACTTCCTGGTCAGATGTAGCTGCCAGCCCCTCCTGGCTTGTGTAAGATTCCTCCTCTCGCTGGGATCCCAGGAGCCCCCTAATTTCCCAGGCCTCTGTCCCTCCAGGCCAGCAGTACGGCCCTCAGATGTCCATCCAAAACACATCTCAACTTAACACAAAGCTTTCAGGGCAAAGGCAGGGAAGCATATTTTGCTTGTTTAGATTTAAGCCCTATTCTTGGCTCACCCACGTTATTACACCTTTTCAGCACTTGGTCTGGCCAATTCCCAAAGCAGGAGAACCTTAAGAGACTAGGTGTGAGCCCCCAAATCAAGAGCCAGGGACCTGCCGTGGGCTTAAGGCTGGGAGCAGCGTCGGCCTTCATCTTTGCCCCAGCACACCTGTGGCCCTTTGCGCATTGTCCGCCCTTGCGCCTCCTTAAAAAAAACCTCTCTCCCTGCTTCTTTTTCAGGAGCAGGGCGGCCCAGGCTCTCCGACGGGCTCTGCTGAGCAGGGGCCGAGTGAGGGGTGTGGGCTGCGGGAGGAGAACTCGCAGCTCAAGGACGCGGTGCGGCGGCTGCAGGCCGAGGTGGAACAGCACCGGCAGGAGGCGCTGCAGCTCCGCGACCAGCGCAGGTCGGCCTAGGGACCCCAGAGCCTTCGTTCTTTCCTCCCTTCCCTGCCCGTTGGTGAGCTTTTGGGATCTAAAATTGTGTCTCCCCCTCGGCATCCTCCAAGAGAAAAGACTCCCTAATATGCTAGCATTTCACTGATGTTCCTTCTTTGGCCCATGGAAAGTACCAGTCCTCTAGGAATTCTACGAGCCCTGGTGGCGCAACGGTTAAGCACTCGGCTAATTAAAAGGTTAGTGGTTCGAACCCACCAAGCCGCTCTGCAGGAGAAAGCCCTAACGATCTGCATCCATAAAGATTCCAGCCAAGAAAACCCTACGGGGGAGTTCTACTCTGTCACACATGGGCTCGCTATGAGTCAGAATCGACTCCTCAGCCTCAGCAACAGGAATTCTAGATCTCAAAACTGCAGAGGATTTGCCCGGAAATAGAGAAAAGCCATTGCCATTGAGTTGTTTCTAACTCATAGTGACCCTATAAGGACGGAGTGGAACTGCCCCATAAGGTTTCCAAGGCTGTAAATCTTTACAGAAGCAGACTGCAACATCTTTCTCCCACGGAGCAGCTGGCAGTTTGAACCGCCAACCTTTCAGTTAGCAGCAGAGCACATAACAACTGTGCCACCAGGGCTCTTCTTTGAAATAGAGGAGGGAACCCTGATTTCCCTGCAAATCAGGGCATTTATAGAATCAGACCTAGAAGACAGCCTTAGGGAGACAATGCAGTAGAATGATTCAGATAGTCCAGTGTGATCTTAACTAGCTGTGTGCTCTTAACCAAGCCGTGTGACCTTGAGCCAGCCAGCCTACCTCTCCCAGACTATTTCTTTACCTGTAAAATTGAGATAACACCACCACTTCTCAGGGCTGTTGTAGAATGCAGTGAAATGTATGCAAGGAGCTTAGCAGGGTCCCTGGCATGGAGAAAGTACTCAGGAAATTGTGGCTGTCACTATTATTACTAAGGTGCCCTGGTGGCACAACAGTTAAGTGCTTGGCTGCTAACTGAAAGGTTAGCAGTTCGAACCCACCCAGTGGCTCCATGGGAGAAGAACCTGGTGATCTGCTTCCATAAAGATTACAGCCAAGAAAACCCTAAGGGAGAGTTCTACTCTGTCACACAGGTGGTTATGAGTTGGGATTGATTCAACAGGACCCAATAACAATACCATTATTACTAATCCATATTTAATAGTTTATTAGCAGTCCTGAATTCAGAGCCTTTTATTGTTGTTGTTATTGTTGGAAGGTTTTTAACTACACGTTCAACTTCTTTAATAGATATAGGACTTTTCATGTTATTTATTTTTTTCTTGAGTGAGCTTCGGTGGTTTGTATCTTTCAAGGAATTTCTTCATTTCATCTAAGTTTTTGAGTGTCCCAATCCCAGGCAAGAAGTTGCTCATGATTTTCTTTTCTTGTCTCTTTAATGTCTGTAGGATCCCTGTTTTCCTAATGTCTGTTGATTGTGTATATTATGTCAGCCTGGCACTGAGCTTTGAGCCTTGGCTGTTCTTGTTCATATAATCCTCACAACCACCTCTTTTTAAAGTTGGGGGGAAAGGATTAGGGAGGTTAAGTAACTTGGTTCACATGACACAGCACGTGTAGGGAAGGCTGGGGTTTGCTTTGGTCTGAGAGAACAGGGCTTCAATCTTAACTGCCTGTTAAGCATTCCCTTAGGCTAGTTTCTTAACCTTGGCATGTCTCAGTTGCTTGGAATACGGATGAAAAAACAGTGTTGACAACAGTGCAGATTAAATGAGATAACGTAAAGCTTTTGGAACAGCACTTGGCACATGGCAGTGACTCACGTAATGTCAACTGTTAGGCTTCCCAAACTCTAGCATGCACTAGAATCTCCTGGAAGACACGTTGAACAAAGCTAACCGGGCTCTACCAGTTGCAGTTGTTGTTGCGTGATTCCAGCTCATAACGACCCCATGTGTATCAGAGGAGAACTGTGCTCCCGTGGAGTGTTTGATGGCTGATTTTTTTGGAGGTAGATCACCCCTTTCTACCAAAGTGCCTCTGGGTAGACTCGAACTTCCATCCTTTTCATTAGCAGCCAAGTATGTTAACCATTTGCACAACCTGGGGAACTCATACGCACTCACTAGACTAGCGTAAATGAAGATTTATAAAGCCAAGCACTGGTGAGGTTATAGAGCAACTGGAACTGTTGTTAGTAACGTAGATTGTTACTAACCCGTTGCCATCAAGTTGATTCGATTCCGACTCATAGCGACCCTATAGAACAGAGTAGGACTGCCCCACAGGGTTTCCAAGGCTGTAATCTCTACAGATGCATACTGCCATGTCTTTCTCCCGTGGAGCAGCTGGTGGCCCAGCACTTAATCACTGCACCATCAGGGCTCCTTACATTGCTGCTAGGAGGTTAAATTGGTACAACCGTTTTGGAAAACTATTTAGCAGTAACTACCAAAGCTAAACATATATATATACCTATGTATCCATATGATTTGTGGCTCAAAAAAAGATATGTCCAAGTCCTAACCCCTGGTACCTGCGGGTGGGACCTTATTTGGAAATAGCGTCTTCGCAGATGTAATTAGTTAAATTAACACAAGGTCACACCGAAGTAGGATGGGCCCTAATCCAATCTGGTGTCCTTATAAGAGACTCCAGCTGGACTCTACCATCAGCATTTCTGATCCAAGTAGGTCTGAGGTGGAGCCCAACAATTGGTAGTTCTAGCAGATTCTCAGGTGCTACCTCACTAGGATGGCACTTTGAGTACCAGTTCTCTTCTTAAGAGTCCCTGGGTGGTGCACACAGTTAATGCGCTTGGCTGCTCATGGAAAGGTTGGAGGTTCAAAGTCCACCCAGAGGCTTCTCCAAAGAAAGGTCTGGCAATCTACTTCAGAAAAATCAGCCATCAAAAACCCTATGGAGCACAGGTCTACTCTGACACACATTGGGTCGCCGTGAGTTGGGGTTGACTCGACAGCAGCTGGTTCACTGGTAACTGGCTCTTCTTCCCTGTGAGTCCCTTACTCCACCGTTCTTACTGCAGTAGCCAGCCAGGGCAAGGGAGTTTTCCAGAGGCCCTGGAATCCTTCATATCCTAGCGAATGAAAAGAGCCCTGGTAGCTCAACCGTTAAGCGCTCAGCTGGTAACCAAAAGCTTGGTGGTTCAAAACTACCCAGCCGCTCCACAGGAGAAAGACCTGGCGATCTGCTTCCGTAAAGATTACTCCTAGGAAACCCTGCGGGGGCAGTTCTACTCTGTCACCTGGGGTCTCTGCGAGTCAGAATCAACTCAGTGGCACACAGCAACAATGGAGGATGAAACCTCCTCTTCCAGGCAGAAGCACTGGCTAGGATTAACCAAGGAGGGGCGGCCCTTGTAGGCCAAGGTAGCTCTGGTCCTGGGTTTCCAGCCAGAAGTCTCCTCCCATGGGAGCTTTGTTAGAAATACACACTCTGATCCACACCCCAGACTCAGTAGGTCTGAGGTGGGGCCCAGAAATCTGGATACGGAAAGAGGCCCCAGGAGATTCTAATGCCCCATGGGGTTGGGGAGGAGAAGGAGATCATTCTGAGTCCTGTGCTCAGGGGTGGGGGAGCCGTGCCCCCGCCAGGCTCAAGGCTGTGAAGTGACTCAGAGAGGCCTCAAGCGGGCTGAGGTTGTAGGTCTCGCCTCCACAAGTGAACGGCAGACCAAGGCTCATCTGTGTGGCAGCTGTGAGCCCATCTCACCAAGGTGGAGCATCTTAGATTCCATAGTGGCTCATGTGACCCTGGCAAGTCACTAGAACAAGCAGTTTGGGCCAGAGTTGTTAGCTGCTGTTGAGTCAGCCCCTGACTCCAGGCAACCTCACACACAACAGGACCAAATGCCGCCCAGTCTCACAATCACTTGTCCGTGGAGGCTTGTGTGTTGCTGTGGTATTCAACTCATTTCAGCAGAGCTTCCAGACTAAGACGGACTAGAAAGAAAGGCCTGGTGATCTACTTCCAAAAATCAGCCAATGAAAATCCTACGGTTCGATCCACAACCAATCATGGACCAGAGTGTAGGAGCGCCTAACCATTTTGGGGTTACAGCCCCCTCCAAGTGATGAAAGCAATGATCCCTCTCCCTGGAAAAATACCCGATCATGCAAACATGTATTTGTAACAGACCCCTGAGACTCATATGGATGCCTTGGTGCCCACCCCTCAGTTAAGAATAATGAAAGCTAATGATGGGACACATATTCTGTGCCAGGGACTGTTCTGGACATGGATTAACTCGATTCATCCTTGCAACAACCCTATGAGGTCAGTGCCATTTCACCTCCATTTTACAGATGAGGAAACAGCCTGGAGTCGCTGCCCAAGGCCCCAACGCTGGGAAGTGATGGAGGCGGCGGCTGCAGGCACAGGCAGCCTGGTTCAAAATGCTGCTCCCTCACCCCTACCCCACCCCGCCTTGCCCCTGCACTGATGATCACCCAGGTCCCGAAGAGTCCCAGAGCTCAGTGATTCGAATACAGAACCTCAGCCTGCAGGCCTCCCACCTGCCCCAAGTGAAAAACCAGTTGCCATCAAGATGAAACCAACACATGGTGACCCCATGTGTGTCAGAGTACAAATGTGCTCCATAGGGTTTTCAGTGGCTGATTTTTTCAGAAGTAGATTGCCAAGCCTTTCCTCCGAGGCACCCCTGGGTAGACTCAAACCTCCAACCTTTCTGTTAGCACCTGAGCATGTTAACCATTTGTACCACCCAGGTATGTCCCAAGTGAAGGAGGTGTTTTTGGGTGCTCCCCTCTGAAGCTGTTCTCCTCTCCTCTCCCCCTGAAGGCTGCCCTTCACACTCAGGTTTCTCCTTTGTGGGATGCTGGGGTGGGACGGTGCTGAGGGGGAGACCCCTTGCAGGGTTAATCCTGTACCCCTCAACTCAGATTTCCAGGTCTCCTTCCCACGGGTGCCCTCACCTCAGATTCATACCCTACCCCCACCCATGGCCTCCCAAGCCAAGCCGCCCAACGGGGTGGGGAACAGACCCCAGTGCCCAGTGAGTGGAAGCTGTGGAGCCCGGGCAAGCTGTGGCCCTGCCGTCCACAGGTTGCTGGAGAAGGATCAGCAAGCCCAGCAGGCTCGGGAGGTGGAGGCGCTACGCCAGGAACACCACAAGGAGATGCAAACCATGGTAGCCGACTTCAGCAGCACCCAGACCAGGCTCCAGGCCCAGCTGGCTGCCCTGGAGACTGAGTAAGTGAGGCCCTGGGGCCCAGTGGTGGGACGGACTAGCAGATGGACCATTTTATCAGAGTAACCAACTCCTCCCAGTATCTCTGGAACTTTCCTGGTTTTAAAACTGAAAGTCTTGCGTCCCAGGAGGCCCCTCAGTCCTAGGCAAACTGGGGTGGTTGATGTCTTAGCTATTTAGTGTTGCTATATCAGAAATACCATTGGTAGATGTCTTTAATGATCAGAAATTTATTTTCTCACAGTTTAGAAGACTAGAAGTCCGAATTCAGGGGCCCAGCTCTAACAGCAGGCTCTCTGTCTGCTGTGGGGGGAAATCCTTATGTCAGCTTCTCTGGCAATCTCAGCGTTCCTTGAAAACCTCCATATGGCATCTGTCTTTCCCCATTTGGTCTTCTTTCTTTCTGTGTCTAATCTGCTCTTCTTACATCTCAAAAGTGATTGGCTTAAGACACACCCTACACTGATGTGGTCTCATTAACAAAGAAACTCCTATTCCTAAATGGGATATCCATAAAAAAAAAAAAAAAAAAAAAAACCTCATTCCCATTGAGTTGATTCTGACTCATAGCGACCTTATAAGACAGAGCAGAACTGCCCCATAGGGTTTCCAAGGCTGTAGTCTTTATAGAAGCAGATTGCCGCATCTTTTTCCAACAGAGCAGCTGGTGGGTTTCAACCGCCAACCTTTCAGTTAGCAGCCAAGCGCTTAACCACTGCGCCACCAGGGCTTCTTTACATAAGTAAAGTGGTTAGGATTTATAGTACATATTTTAGGGGACACAGTTCCATACACAACAGTTGTTGTTAGGTGCCATCGAGTCAGTTCCGACTCATTGCAATCCTATGTACAACAGAATGAAACATTGCCCAGTCCTGCAGTGCTGTGCTTGATCCCATTGTTGCAACCATTGTGTCCATCCATCCTGTTTAGGGTCTTCCTCTTTTTTGCTGATCCTCTATCAAGTATGATGTCCTTCTCCAGGGACTGATCCTTCCTGACAACGTGTCCAAAGTATGTGAAACATAGTCTTGCCATCCTTGCTTCTAAGGAACATTCTGGCTGTACTTCTTCCAAGACAGATTTGTTTGTTCTTTTGGCAGTCCATCGTATATTCAATATTCTTTGCCAACACCGTAATTCAAAGGCATCAATTCTTCTTCAGTCTTCCTTATTCACCGTCCAGCAAAAATATAACAGTTGGTCACCCTTAATTTATAGAGATGGTGTTGTCCTTCCCCACAGTGCCCTGGGAACCTAGGAGGGATGAGCAGTGTGTCTCGTGGGCTCTGTTTAACCCTCACACCAAGAAGAAATCAGGATGGTCAGGGCTCCCGAGTCTCGAGCTTTTGCCCTGTTCTAACATGCGTCATCTCACATAATCTCCACAACAGTCCTTCAAGGTGGGAACTGTTCTTCCCATTGACAGATGAAAAAACTGAGGGTCCCTTAGCACCCATTCATCTGTTCATTCAACAAGTATTTATCAAGGGCCCACTGTGTGTCCTATACTGTTTTAGGCTCCAGAGTTACAGCAGGGAACAAAATAAAGACCATGCTGCCACGGAACTCCCAAATCTAGACAGGGATTCAGACAAGAATTAAGCCAACATATCAATATTTAATTTCAATCAGGCAGTGAAAGTGCTATGAGAAAACCAGGATCAGGGTACAGGTAATCCCTGACTTATGATGTATTTGAGTTATGATGAATCGCACTTAACGACCATCCTTTTTTTTTTTTCTGTACATCATATCATAAATAATATGTACTACATACAGTGTTGTAGCACATAATTTGCTGATGTCATCATATCTGTAAGTTTACCTGTAATGTTTCCAACCCCTAGAGACAAAGATCAAGTTTATAAAGTACTGATAATAAAAGGCAATAATAATGAAAACTGAAAAAACGAGGTAGTATTTGACTTAATGTCAGAATCCACTTATAACAGCATCGTCAGAACGGGATCCCGTCGTAAGTCAGGGACTACCTGTATAGAGAGTGGCAAGGATGGGCAGGAACATCTTCTTTGAAGAGGTGACATTTTAGTACAGCAGGCAAGGGAATGAGCCATCCATTTGGAAGAAGAGCATTCCAAGCAAAGGGAACAGCAAAGGCAAAGGCCCTGGGGCCCTGCGGTACGTGACTGGAAACAGCCAGAAGGCACTAGTGGAGTGAGTGGCTGGAGTGGAGTGAGTGAGAGGGCGAGTGGTAGGAAATGAGGTCGGTGGGGTAGCTGGGGGCTTGGAGGTTAGGAAGTGCAAATCCTTCCTTGAATAGGAAGAAGACATTTGGATGTGTTCCGAGTATACTGGGAAGCTGTTGGAGGCTTTGAGCAGGAGCTATGTGGTCTGATTTACCTTTTTTAAAAAAAACAAAAATATTTTATTGTGTTTTCAGTGAAGGTTTACCCAGTGGTTTAGGTTCCCATTCAACAATTTCTACACAAGTTGTTCCATGACGTTAGTTACAGTCTTCACAATGTGTGAACATTCTCATTATTTCCATTCTTGTTGTTCTGGTTGCGTTAATACAGTTTTCCTGCCCCCTTACATTCTTGTCTTCTTTTTAAAATAATTGTTGACCGTTTGGTCTCATATAGATGATTTTTTAAAGAACACAGTGCTCACGGGTGATATTCTTTGTTTTCTGAGCCCATCTGTTATTTATCTAAAAGGTAACCTCGGGATAGTTTTGGTTTAAGGTTTAAAGAGTGTATCAGGGCCATAGTCTCAGGGAGTCCTACCGTTTCAACCTGATTTACCTTCTAACAGAGTCACTCTGGCCACGGAGAGGAGACTGTCAGGGTTAGGTGGAAGCAGGGAGACCAGCTGATTGCAGTAATCCAGGTTCAGACAGGTAAAGCCACTTGCCCAGGTCACGGCAACGGATTTAAATGCAATCCGTCTGACTCTAAGCCTGCACCCTTAAAAACTATTCTCAGCTGTCTCCAATGCAGAGCAAATCACCCAAAAGCCACACGTGGAAGGTTTTCCTTGCTGCCATCTAAGGGGCACTCGACGCGAGCAAGGCACCCATGATTTCACTGAATCTTCACAGCCACCCGGTTTTAAGCCCATTGTAAAGAGGAGGGAATGGAGGCTCGCAGGTGAAATGCTATAGCCAAGGTCACAAAGCTATAAAAAAGGATTCAAGCACAACAAAGCTGTGAGGGCTAAAGCTCTCGCCATCCCTGGCCTCCCAGACCAAAGAGTTAGGAATCCTCTCCGGTTTCAAACTGAAACGGCATGCCATGCCCCACATTCTCCAGTAGAGGGTGCCAGAGTCACGTCAGCACCTGGAGAACCTGCCAGCTGTGACCTTGTGGCCCCATTTTCCTGCCCTGGGTTCTTTTCCCAGCAATTTCCCTGGCTCTTGAAGCCACGCTGAGTTCAGCAGCTACACGCCCACAAAACCAGGCTCTTTGGGCCATTGAGGCTGGATGAACCCCCAAAACTATTGCTCTGAGATAATCTTTAAACCTTAAAGCTGAAACCAAAAGCATCCCCTGAAATCTCCTTTAAATTAAACAGTAAACCGGAGGCGTGGTCAATATGGCAGACTAGTTAGATGCTTCCTATATCCCTCTTACAACAAAGACCTGGAAAACCAAGTGATTTGATTCTATGTGAACATCTGGCAGCCCTGAACAAGGCAAGGTTAAGAAATCCATCTGAGCCATACTGGAGAGGAAGACCATTTG